ATGGGAACCTCAAAGTTCAGAATGGTTCAGGAATAACTGTTTAAAAGCATTTATGATAAGTGTTTTAGGATTAGCCGTGCACCTTTCAATTCTTGAAACTCGAAGGAAAAACACATAGTTGACAAAATTAAGCAAGAATAACTGGGGAATGGATCATTCAAATTGATACCATTTTCTCCTGAGTAGAGTCTATATCTTTTTTTTTTTTCACTTTTCCAACGAGTATTTATTATTAGTTAAGCCATGATTCAGGATCCCAGGGTGGGGATCACCATGTACCCAGGTCCCCCTTCACCACCCTGGGAGAAGGATGGAGGACAGAGGAGAGGTGGGTGGAGCCAGTTCAGATCTTCCCAGGAAATGTGCCTTCTGCCCGGCGGTCATCCCAGGCCGACACCCAGGATATGGGGCAGAGGGACTTGTACACTCGCCGGTACCATTCGCACACGGAGACATCACCCCCTTTAGCAGTCATTGCCTTCTCACAGCGGTGGAAGTCCAGGTAGTTCTGCCAGCAGTTCCTAGTCTGGTTCTGGTTGGGGAAGCGGCTGTCAAAACGGGCAGTCTGGTAGTTCTTGATTTTGGACTTGATGTCTTCTGCCATGGTGCTGACTCTGAAGACACCCCTGCAGCACCTCGCAGCTCAATGTGACCCTCAGCAAAGAGGGTCATAAACTGTCATAGACGTTCTTAAATGATTCTTTGTTTACTGTTTGCCCTTAGGTCCATTTCCTGAGGCATTAAATCCTTGTTTTTAAAAAATAACTTTCACCAGTTTCACTTGAGCTGGGCATTGGAGATCTTCATGCCATCATGCAGGAAACGTTGAACTAATTATCTTTTTAAAAAATTGTAGTAAATACAGAATGCATAAAATTTATCATCTTAACCATTTTTAAGTTCTTTCACATTAACTACTTTCACACTGTTGTGCAACCATCACCACTGTCCATCTCCAGAATCACTTTTATCTCATAAAACTGAAACCATAGCCATTAGAAAAATAACTTCCCTGTAAAAACATCCCCTGGCAACCACTATTCTGCTTTCTCTGAATTTGACTATTCTAGGTATCTCACATAAGTGGAATCATACACTTTGCCTTTATGTGACTGGCTTATTTCAATTAGCGTAATATCATCCATATTGTAGCAAGTGTTGGAATTTCATTTCTTCTTCAAGCTAAAAATTTTCCATTATGTGTGTATATACACACATTTTTTTTTCATTCATCTGCTGATGAAAACTTGGGTTGCTTCCACCTTTTATTGTGAATTACACTGCTGTGAACGTAGGTGTATGTTCAAGTCTCTGCTTTTAATTCTTTTGGGTATAGACCAGGAAGTAGAATTACTGGATCATAAGGTAATTCTATTTTTAATTTTTTGAGGAATCACAATACTGTTTTCTGTAGTGGTTAGACTTATACATTCCTATTAACAGTGCACAAAGTTTTTAAATTCTCTAGATCTTCACCAACATTTGTTATTTTCCATTGTTGTGTTTTTAGCTATCCTAACGGGTCTTAGCTGGTATCTCACTGTTCTTCTGTTCTGCATTTCCCTAATGATTAGTGATGCTGAACATTTTTTCATGTGCTGTTGGCTATTTGTGGATCTTCTCTGGAAAAATATTGAATTCTTATCCATTTTTTTAATTGGACCACTTATTATTGAGTTATAGAAGTTCTTTGTATCATCTGAACATTAACTTCTTATCAGATAGATAATCTTTAAATATATTTTCCTAATTCTGTCAGTTGCTTTTCACTGTTGTTTCCTTTGATGCACAGAAGTTTCTAATGTTTGATGTGTAGTTCATTATATCCATTTTCTTCTTTTGCTGTATGTGCTTTTGCTGTTATATTTTAAGAAATCCAAAGTCAAGAAGGTTTTCCCTTATGTTTTCTTTTTTTTTTAAAAAAAGATTTTATTTATTTGAGAGAGAGAGGGAGAACGCATGCACACACACTAATGAGCAGGGGGAAGAAGCAGACTCTGTGCTGAGCAAGGAGCCCAACTTGGGGTTCTGTTTCAGGACACTGAGATCATGACCTGAGCCAAAATCAAGAGTTGAACACTTAACCAACTGAGCCACCCAGGTGCCCCTCTTCTAAGAGTTTTATCATTTTAGCTGTTAAGAGCTTGACACATTTGGAGTTATTTTTGTATATGAGTCCTGTATCATTCTTTTGCATGTAGATATCAAGTTTTTCCAACATCTTTGTTGAAAAGACTCTCCTTTCCCTATTAACATAGAATTAGCATGCTTGTCAAAAATCATTTGAATATATATGTAGGGGGTTATTTCTGGGCCCTCTATTCTATTCCATTGATTCATATATCTATATTCATATATATTTTCTATCCTACACCTTTGCTGAATTTATTCTAAGTTTTTGGCTTTTTTGTTTGTTTGTTTTTTTTTTTTTAATGTGGAATCTTTGGGGTTTTCTACATACTAGGTCATGTCATCTGTGAACTGAAATTTACTTTTTCCTTTCCACTTTGGATTTTTCTTTTTTCTTCTTGACTAATTGCTCTGGCTAGGACACCCACTACTATGTTGAGAAGCAGCAAAAGTGGGCATCCTTGCCTTGTTCCTGATCTGAGAGGAAAAGCTTTCAGTCTTTCATCACTAACTCTGTTAGCTGTAGTTTTTTCAGAATGCCCTGAGGAAATCCTTTCTTTTTCAGATTAGCTAAATGGTTAAATATTTTTTTATATATATAATGAATGGATATTAAACTCTTTTAAATGCTTTTTCTTTACCTGTTCTAATGATCCCATAGATTCTCCCTTCCCAGTCTATTAATATGGCAAGTAGTATTGGTATGTATGTATGTATGTATGTATGTATTTATTTAAATGCTTTCAGTATTTTTATTTTTTAATTTTAAAAAATTTTGTTTAAATTCAATTTGCCAACATATAGTATAATACCCAGTGCTCATCTCATCATGTGTCCCTAGGGCCCACCACCCAATTACCCTATCCCCCCACTCACCTCCTGTTCTGCAACCCTTTGTTTGTTTCCCAGTTAGGAGTCTCTCATGGTTTGTCTTCCTCTCTAATTTTTCCCCACTCAGTTTCCCTCTTTTCCCTTATTAGTATTGATTTTTATTTTTTTATTTCATTTTTTTAAAAAAAGATTTTATTTATTCACGAGAGACAGAGAGAGAGAGAGAGAGAGAGAGAGGCAGGCAGAGACACAGGCAGAAGGAGAAGCAGGCTCCATGCAGGGAGCCTGATGTGGGACTCGATCCCGGGACTCCAGGCTCATGCCTTGGGCCGAAGGCAGGTGCTAAACTGCTGAGCCACCCAGGGATCCCCTAGTATTGATTCTTAAATGTTGCAACAACCGTGCATTCATTATCCTCAGTTGGTCATGATGCACTATCCCTTTTATATATTGTAATACCATATAGTACGTATGCATTGCATGTATATATGTATAATACATATTACAAATAATGTATATATAATAACATGTAATTGTGGACTGAATGTTCATGTACACTCAAAATTCATGTTGGCTTCCTAATCCCAATGTGATGGTATTGGAAGGTAGAACTTTGAAAGGTAATTCATGAAGGTGGAGACCTCATGAATGGGATTCATGCCTTTCTGAGAAGAGGCAAGAGAGTTAGCTAAATCTCTTTCCACCATGTGATATATAGAGAATACATTAAGAAGTTAGCAGTCTGCAACCTGGAAGGATCCTTACCAGAACTCAACCATGCTTGCATTCTAATCTTGGGCTTCTAGCCCTAGAACTGTAAGAAATAAATTTCTTTGTTTACAAGCCAACCAGTCTATAGTACTTTGTTATAACACCCTGAGTTGACTAAGATAATGGTACATGTAATATACATTCAAATATATAGTATTCATTTATTAAAATTAGTGTGTTTTCATTTTTTAGCTATTATAAACAAAGATGCTATAAACACTTGTACTACAGTTTTTTTTATAAATATATACTTTCTTTTCTCCTGAGTAGATACCTAGAAGTGGAATGGCTGGATGATAAAATAGGTGTATATTTAACTTTGAATAAACAACCATGGTTTTTCATTTTCCATTCCTACCAGCAGTGTATAAGAATTCTGGTTCCTCCACATACCTGCCCACATTTGGTATGGATGCTCTTTCAATTTTAACCATTCTAATAGGCATATAGCAGTATCTCATGGTTTCAATTTGCATTTCCCTAATGATTAATGCTCATCATCTTTGATGTACTCATTTGCTATCTTTATATGTGCTTTATTGAAGTATTTGTTCAAATGTTTTGCTTATTTTAAATATTATGTTGCCTTAATATTGTTTTGAAAATTGTTTATATATTTTGAATACAAGTACTTTAGCAGATACATGTTTTATAAATAATTTTTCCCACTGTATGGCTTTTTTTTTCATTCTTTTAGCAATGTCTTTCTAAGACCAGAAGCTTTAATTTTGATGGAGTCCAATTTATCAATTTTACCTTTAATGGACTGTGATTTTTGTGTCATATCTAAAAAAAAAAAAGTCAATGCTTAGCCCATTCAGATTTATATATTAATTACATGCTTGTCTGTATATATACTAAACTTTGATTAAAAGTTTAAAAAATTTAATTCTTAGTTTTCTAATGAGATAACCAATTTTGTGACAATTCATTTTATATTTTCTAGAGTACATTGCAAAGAAGAATGGATATTAGCTTTACTATCTATAACTGGGTTAGCTATTATTAATACCATAATCAACTAGTTCTTGGTCATGAGTAGACTTTCCTTACTCAACTCTAATGTTCTCATTATTAGAAATGAATTATAGGAACCAAGAGCCAAAATTATGCTGTAAGATATGTAGTAAATACTCTAACAAAATTAACATATCATTATTAGAAGTGAGTTGATTATTTCAAAGCAGTATATTTTTTAGTTTAACATTTTAGTCAAGGTCTTTATGGTATCATTTTCAATTTAAACTCAGAATTCTAAGGAACATTACCTGTATGACTGTCTTTGGGGTAGAAATATTCATTTTTTCTGTTTTTATCTCAGGTAGAATTGTCATGGTTTTTGACATAGCCATTCTACTTTGGTTTGCACCAACATAGCTTTTTGTGAAACCTCCTCTTGCGGTGTTAGTAAAGCTAATAGATTTCTTGGCCTGTGGGCCAACGCTCCTATATTAAGAAAAGAAAACATAAGATAAAGGATCATGACAGAAGGAAAAATAACCAACAACAAAATAGCAGACTTTCATTAGAAACATGGAAACAATCTGAACACATAAATAAGAAATAATAGCTACTTGAGAGCTCATTATGTGTAAGCATAGTTCTAGAATGTTTACATCCATTATGTCACTTTTTTCTCATGACCCTTAAGAGGTTGCTGTATCATTTTATATAAAATCACAGAGGCTTAAGAGAGAAATATTCCTCCGAGAGTTGAAATTTGAACCTAAGCAGTGTGATCCAAAGTCTATAGTGATTTCTCTGGGTCTCAGTTTCTTTATTTGTGAGATGGGATATCAATAGTTCCCTATAATAGATTATTATGAGGATTAAATGGATTAATTTGTATATTATGGTTAGGAAGTCCCTTGAACATAGTAGGCATAAGTGAGTATACAGTGCAGCCACATAGGCAGAATGAAGCATGAGAAATAAACCTATAAAACCTGGAAAGAATATCGTGTTCCTGTCTCAACAATTACATAATTTTTAATAAGAAGAGAAGATAAAATCAAAGTGTTTGCATCCTGGAGAAAAAAATATGATTTTACTTTTGTATACTCTCCAAATTCCTTAACTCAAAACCCTATCTTGTCATTTCTTTGTTCTGGTACTGATTATACTGTGGATTTCTATAAAATAAGGATGATATTCTCTTAGATTATAAAAAGAAAATCTGTTTCCAAAGAAAACATTTTATTTTTCCATTATTATTTTTTAATTTTAATTTTAAGTAGGCTCCACACCTAACATGGGGCTTGAACTCATGATCCTGAGATCAAGAGTTGCATGCTGTACTGACTGAGCTAGCCAGGCACTCCCCTGCCCTCTCCCCCCAAAGAAAACATTTTAAATAGTACTTTTGCTTTCAAAACATAAAAGATCAGACAAGAGTGAAATATTTTTAAATGGCAACCATCAATCCACTTTTCATATTTTATTTTTCTTCATAGCTTTTACTATTTGATACATTGTTCTTGTTGTCCACTCCTCTACTAGAATGTAAGCATCTTCAGGGCAAGAACTTTGGTCTTGTTAATTGCTATATTCCTAGAACCCACAACAGTACCCAGTATATTGTGGTCACTAAAGAAGGATTGTTTAAATAAATGGACTCCATTCATGTAGTATTTCAAATTAACATTCTTCTAAAGTATTTTACTCTATTCTCCCTCCTTCAGTGTATAAATGACTTCACTTTCAACATCTCTAAGAAAGTAAGATCAGGAGAAAGCTCCTTAAATTATTTCTCTATTGTCATGTTTTTCTTTCATATCCTACAAACACTTCTAAATTCATCTTTCTTCTTTCAGCAAGAGTTGCCATTCCTATCTAAAGCTCATCTTTCTACTTGTGCTCTGAAATCTGTCTGTTACTACTTTCTCAGGGACTTTTGTCCATCAATAATTTCCTGTCTGCTACATATTACTTCCTATCTTTTCCCTTTGAGCATATAATTATGCTCCAGTCACCCCATCAACTTAAAAATCCTTCCTTTAGCTATGTCTTTCTCTATGTGTTACTTTCTTTATATACCCTTCCTTTCATATTCCAACTCTTTAAGTAGTCAATAATACTACTTCCTTATTCCTCTTATATGCTCCATAATTCACTACAATCTAGCTCTAACTCTTCTATCCTACCGCATAGAGACTACTTTCATTAAAATCACCTAGTCCTTCAACTTGTCAAATACAAAGATTCTTTTCAGTACTTATCTTTGTATAATTTGACAGTTGACCCTTCCTTCTTCTGTGAAACCATCATCTCCTATTCTTCAATGTCTTTGGGACCTCTAACCACTTGACCCTTCCATTTTCTACTAATTAGTACTTTTATGTTTTTCTTCTCTATTTAATCCAAAATCCACAATTCATCAAATGAATCACTCTTTTACCATTACCTTCAACTTGTATTTGCTTTCTCCTTGACCTTTGCCCATTCTATCCTTACAAAAGCTAGTCTCTTTCTATTTTTTCCTTTATTAGTTTCCTCTTTTGAAAATTACACTCTGGCTCAAACCTCAGTTATCCAGTTGTTCCCTCCCTCTCTCTCCCTGTCTCTACACACACACACACACACACACACACACACACACACCCTGAGTAAATGTAAAAACTCAGGGTTTCAATGATTTATATTATATTCTACTTCCTTATGGCAGTCTACCATCAGCACCACCTCCTTTCTTCCATTCCCTGAAGATTTTATATCCTAAATTACTGAACCTTTCTCACATAATCTTGTTCTCCTTGCCATGTCAGCTATTTATTCTCATGGTCATACATTTGACCTTGTCCTTAGCAAGGTCAACTGTCATTTTCTATTTTTGCAGCTTATATACTCCCCCCCTTCCTTTTTTTAATGATTTTTCTTGGGTAACTTACTCTTTTTTTTTTTTTTTTTTTTGAGAAGGAGAAAGAGAAACCATGCAAGCAGGAGGGGAGGAGGGAGGAAGGGGCAGAGGGAGAGGGAAAGAAAGAATCTTAAGTAGGCTCCATGATCAGCACAAAGCCTGACATGGGGCTGGATCTCACAACCCTGAGATCATAACCTGAGCCGAAATCAAGAGTCAGATGCTTAACTAAATGAGCCACCCCGGTGCCCCTACACCTTCTTAATACCCAATTTCAAACAACTCTATTTCACTTCCTTCAACTCCATTATCACCTTTAAGCCCTTGATTCTACCCTGCTTTACTCCCTTACTCAACCCTCTCACATAATCTCTTTTCCCCTGAGCTTAAGGTTAATAAATATAATTCATAGTTAATTAGGCATACCTTGGACATGTTGCAGGTTCAGTTTTAGGCTACCACAATAAAGCAAATAGCACAATAAAGTGAGTAAAATGAATTTTTTGGTTTCCTGGTGCATATAAAGTTGTGTTTACACTGTACTGTAGTCTATTAAATGTGCAATAGCCTTATGTCTAAAAACACAATGTACACACCTTAATTAAAAAATACTTCATTGCTAAAATGCTAACCATCATCTGAGTTTTCAGTGAATCATAATCACTGATCACAGTTCACAATAACAAATAATTAAAAAGTTTAAAATATTGCAAGAATTACCAAAATGTAACAGAGCCACTAAGTGAGCAAATGCTTGAAATGTGAGCAAATGTTTGAAAAATGGCACCTAGCTTGACACAGGGTTGCCATAAACCTTCAATTTATAAAATTCACAGTATCAACAAAGTGCCATAAAGTGAAATGCAATACAATTAAACCTGCATTATAACCCTTACACTCTCATCTTCCTTCTCCTTTTTAAAATTCACTACACTTGCTGGCAAAACCAAAACTTTAATTCCAATTATCTTCTAACTTTGAGCCTACACCTGTATATTAACCACATCTCTATCTTTTGTAAACTTGATACTCTACCATTTGCGACACATGTTTATGCCCAACACATCTTGTTCTGGACAAACTGATATGCTCAAGCACTGTGCCTGATTTCCTGCCTATCTTGTCACCTCCTCCCCTTCCATGGGCACAATTTCCCAATGCAAACCAGTCTATGCCCAACTGCCCCCCTTTATCAGGCCCTCACACTCTGGGCCACTATATACACTTTCCCTAATCGCCCTATAGCCAGGTACCAGACAACTAAGGATGGTCTCTATGTTTCAGAACCCACTGATATTATTCAAACTAGCAATCTTAAGCCTGCTTATCATGCCTCACCTGTACCCTCCCACCAAAACCATAAAAAACATGGGCCCACAGTTTTTCCCTTTCCCTCTTCCTGATGTCTGTCTGACCCAGTGCTTTCCCATGTAGTCCCCTGTGGGATTGCCTGCCCTCTCCTCTTGAAAACTATGAGTAACAGACTATTTTTTTTAGTGGCAATCATCTCCTAATCTGCTGACCTAATACTTCAAGTTTTCTATTAATATGATATATTTTAATTCAACTTTTGCAGCTAAATGAAGCTGGAGAAAAAATATCCGACCATGATGCCAGATCTCATTTTAAATTATGGATCATAACTTAAAGTGTCTTCAATGTGCCAGCAATTATACTGTGCTACAAATCACTTTTTACTACACCTTCTAAGGCTACTATTTCATACTCCTCTCTTCTTGATTGTCAACATCTACTCTCCTATCTTTTTTTTTAAGATTTATTTATTTATTTATGATAGACACACACACACACACACACACACACAGAAAGAGAGAGAGAGAGAGAGAGGCAGAGACACAGGCAGAGGGAGAAGCAGGCTCCATGCCAGGAGCCCGACGCGGGACTCGATCCCGGGACTCCAGGATCGCGCCCTGGGCCAAAGGTAGGTGCCAAACTGCTGAGCCACCCAGGGATCCCCTACTGTCCTATCTTTACTTTCAGCTAATTAAGTGAGAAAATTAAGCTAATCAGGTAACTTTCAAATATTTCCACTGTTACTACTTTGCACCTGATTATATCTATGACTACATTCCTTATTTCTCTCTTGTTACTTTGGATGAATTAGCTATGTTTCCAGCTTAGGTCAATTCCTCTAATCATGTACTGGATTCCATTACTTTCTACCTATTCAAGGACATTGTTCTAGTAATTCATGCATGATGAGCTTTTCTCACTCTACTGCATTATTCCTTTTAGCAGATAAATATGCCATTATTTCTCCTATCTTAAAAAATTTCTCGATTCCATCTCTCTACCTACCATCCCATTCATTTTTCCTTTAATTATAGCAACTCCTTTGAAAGAACTGTCTGTACTTATTGTTTCTAATTCCAGTAAAGTTTTAGCTCTTATCATTCTTAAGCCTGATCCAGTAAAGTTTCAGCCCTTATCATTCCACCAAAAGAATTCTTGCCAAAGTCCTGTTACCTCCACAATATTAATTGCCAATGTTCTCATCTTACTTATCAGCAAAATTTACCCAGTTGCTCCTTCTTTGTTTTTTTCCTTTGTTCTTTAACCTACTTTCCTT